TAGGTATTAGAAGTTATATTTGTCCCACATCACTTAGTTATTGAGCTGTTATTGTAATGTGGGTTCGGCACCCTCTCCCTTGGCCAACTTTTGGGGGATGATGAGAGGTCCATTTATTACCATACGGGGTTAACTGATTGCCTTTCTCTCTATCAAGATGGTTATTGTCTTGTGAAATGCGGGTGTTGCCCTTTGTGTTCTTCTCTTTTCAAAATACAGATCTCTATAACATTTTTATTCTTTAATTTGATACAAATTAGAATTCTCAATTTTCTATGACCTGTGGGGATTAAGGGGGTGCACGACCTGTATATTGATAGGAGCATCTCACGAAAACTGATCTATTGTGGCCACTTTTGACTGTGAAGGGAAATCCAAACCTGTTTGAGCCACTTTAAAAAATTTAATTGATCTTGTGGACATGCCTTAAAGTCGCCCTTATCGTAACTTATGGTAGTGTCTTGCTTATGCTTGGGGGGGTTCAATTTTGCGATGCAGGTATACATGGTGAATATTGTTATCTCACTCCTTTGCATAGACGATTTACAAATTGATTTGGCGATCTATGATCAAGTGAGAGGAAATTCCTTATCGTCTAATGTCCATTGTGGGGAACAAGATGATTTCGCAACCCATAAAGGGGGAAATAAGATGGTTGTCTCCTTTACTGGACAAGTATTAGATATTTTACGGCAACAACTACCATCATCAACTGATCTGGATAATTCCTTGGGTGCTCTTATATCTGCCGAAAGTAAACAAGCGTTAGAATGGAGAATCTTGAAGGCAAAACATTTTATTGAAGACTGGGAATGGCGGCTGTCGATTTTGCAAGGCCTCCTGCCATTGTCTGAACGTCAATGGAGGTGGAAGGAGGCTTTAACTGTGTTCCGTGCTGCACCATCTAAGCTTCTGAATCTGTGAGTTATTCTGTTGGTTTAGATTCATTTTCTGCAAAAAATCTTTTTAAGTTATGTTATTTTACTAATGTAGAAGGTATGTGCCGTTGTTAGTTATGGATGTCATACGAGATCATATAGTGCGTCTGTTCATACACATGTTGATGTGTGATGATGTTTGCTTGTATATTAGATGCATGCAAAGAGCGAAATATGACATTGGAGAGGAAGCCATCTCTCGTTTTTCCTTACCTCCTGAAGACAAAGCGATACTGGAATTGACTGAATGGGTGGATGGTGCCTTCAAAAAAGCTTCTGTATGTGTATAACGCGTACCTTCAAATTTCTATATAATAACTCTTGTTAGTATTCACAATCTCAAAATTTTCAGGAAATTCACGTTGTGGTTAATTGTTATTTCTTTATGTGGTTTTGTACTCCTCTGAAAGCTTCCCAACAATGTTCGAGTTTATATTTTACTGGGATGAGTTGTCAGTTCTGGCTAGTGAGATAGAATTTGTGGCATTACTGGTATTCTTGTTTGCAATCTGCATGTTTATTGATACTTTTGCTTCTTATCTGAAGTTATATCTCATCATCAACTATGCTAGAACTTAGAATGAAGTTGTAATAGTGCTTCAGGAAATTATGAATCTCATTTCTGGTGAATAACTATTAGGTGGAGGATCTGGTGTCTTGTGCTGCTGATGAAACTTCTGTTCAAGAATTGGATTTCTTCTCATTGCGCTCTCAGTTGGGTCCTTTGGCTTCGGTGTGTGTTCTCCACGGTCCTTAATAATCCTCAACAGTTGTTGAAGTGGATAAAGTAGCCCAACCTTTTCCGGAACCTGTTGAGAATGACTCGTCTGTTTCCCTTTGCAGATTCTTCTGTGCATGGATGTTGCTGCTGCATGTTCGAAGCTGCCTAACGTGTCTCTAAAACTACTGAATCAAGTAACTTAGAACTTCCTTCTCGTGTAGTACTTTTTATTAGTTTTGCAGCAGTAATCACCATAAAGTCATACTTGCGCTTCTCCTGTGGGGTGGGTTGGGGTGGGGGAGGATGTAAGGTTTTAGGCATTGCTTCAATAATAATTGTAATATTTTCTAAGAATCATTTATATTTAAACATGAAATAGGTGCTACAAAGTTGGTTTCATTTGACTTATTTGGCTCAAGTTTAATTTTATTATCAATTTTGACTATTAGGCTCAAATTATGCTTTCGGAGATCTATCCTGGAAGTGCTCCAAAATCTGGATCAACTTATTGGGACCAAATCCGTGAGGTGGCTATAATAGCTGTGGTCAAGCGCGTCCTCAAGCGTCAGTGTGAATTATTGGAACAGGTAAATCTAAGATTGTGAGTTTCACTCCTGAGAGTTATTTAGTTAACATATATTGCTTTCTTGATTTCTTGTTATGTTAAACCTCAAGACGTGTTTGGAGGTGTTAATTGTAGGGTGTCCTCATTATCCCATTTCGTTTGAACTTTAGTGTTGAATGTGCCTTATAAGTTATACCGCAATGCTTGACAAATGAAGTTTTCCTAACCCAGTAATTGAAAATAATTTTTAACATAAAACTATTTATGAAGTGCGTGCAATGGAGAAATTCGATTTGTAAAAGACAAGTTGCTGAGGATGTAGGTCTGGGAAATGTGTTGTTTGTTCCTCTCTCTCTCTCTCTCTCTCTATATATATATATATATATATATCGACTCTTTTTNTTTTTTTTTTTTTTTTCTCTCTCTTTCGTGTGGGTGGTAGGTTGGAGATGAATCTTGATAAACGTGTGTAGTTTGATCTGAAGAATTTACTGAAGTTCTGATGGTGGCTCGTTTGATTTGGAACCTACTTGATAAGATATTTAGCTTGATAGAGGTGCACATTTGGGATTTGGCGGTGTTTTAGGTCTTAGAGTGTCGTTTGGAAGTGAAGCTAGGTTTGGAACTGACAAATTAGGATTGCACCCTCAAAGGGTTTGGTCTTACAACTTGGCTGCAAAATCATTTGCATAATGTATAGTGAAACCTTCTTTACCAAATGATTTTCTCAGGACAAGCCTTTAGCTCCTCAGGCTCTTTTATCAGGTGAAATAATCCTTCAATCACCAAAAGATTCTTATCGACAAGGTAACAGAGATCGTGCTCTTGTCATGCTTCATCAAATGATTGAAGATGCTCATAAGGGCAAACGGCAGTTCCTTAGTGGTAAGCGTTTGGATTCATATTATATAGAATTATTGTTGTTTTGCTGGATTACTAACAGAGTAATTGTGGTGATATACATGATTGTTAGCCGGTTCCAATCCTTGCATTCTGTTGAAATTTTCAGGTAAGCTTCACAATTTAGCAAGAGCTATTGCTGATGAAGAAACGGAAAGGGATCATACGAGTGAGGCTAGTGGGGAGGGTTCACTTTCTGAAGTGAAGGGATTACCTATCCTTGACAGGAATGTGGTTCTTGGGCTTGGTTTAAGAACATTAAAGCAATCACTTGTAACTTCAGAAGCAGGTGAAAGTAACATAAACTCTGCAAGTTATGATGCTAAAGATTCAGAAAAAAGGCTTTTTGGCCTTTTTGGTTCCAAGATCACGACATTCCTGTCACAATTCATTCTCCACATTGCTGCAATTGGCGACATTGTTGACGGGACGGATACCACTCATGATTTCAATTATTTTTCCCTAGTTTATGAGTGGCCCAAAGACGTAAATATTCCATGTCTCCATTTCCTTTTATTACTATTTTCTCTTAATTGATTTACTTATTTATCCTCGGTAGATGTATATGTTCTATGTACTCTGGGAAGTGTTGACGCTATCCTTTTGGTTTGCAGTGTTTAATGTACTTTATAATTTTAATGTTTTTCATCAAGGGGGGCTATGATGATAGGGGGGATGACCCGTATGTCTCTTCATCTAGAACATAATCACAATGAATGAGAGACTGTATCTAGTTGAGATTGCTTGTTGCCAGGTGTAAACGGAATGGGGTGTAAAATTTGAATGGAGATCTCTTGTTAGTGTGCCAATACTATTTTTTACATGTTAAGTTATTATTTTTTTATGAGTTATTCGCAACCTGGTTCATAATATTTTGTGATATCATTGCAGCTTTTAACTCGTTTAGTGTTTGAGCGAGGGAGCACTGATGCAGCTGGAAAGGTTGCCGAAATAATGAATTCAGACTTTGTTCACGAAGTAATAACTGCATGTGTACCTCCTGTTTACCCTCCGAGATCTTGTCATGGTTGGGCTTGCATTCCTGTGATTCCTACTCTACCTAAGAATTATACTGAAAACAAGGTTCTCTCTCCTTCTTCCAGAGAAACTAAACCCAAGTTTTACACTCGTTCGTCTGCTACTCCTGGTGTCCCTTTATACCCTCTTAAGTTGGACGTAGTGAAACATCTTGTCAAGTTATCTTCTGTCAGGGCTGTCCTGGCATGTGTGTTTGGGAGTACTATGTTGTACCATGGCAGTGATCCTGCTATCTCTGGTTCGTTGAATGATGGCTTGATGCCGACGCCTGATGTTGATAGGGTTTTCTACGAATTTGCTCTTGATCAATCAGAGAGGTCTCTTTCCATAAAAAATCTTTGTAACTATGTGTATTATTTATCTTACAGTAATTTATGCGGTTCGTTTATTCTTGGCAAGCAGGTTCCCAACCTTGAATCGCTGGATACAATTGCAAACTAACCTTCATCGAGTTTCTGAGTTTGCTGTCATGATTGAACATAGCATGGATGGTGTTAAAGACAATTTAGAACCCAAAACTGCTATGAAACGGTTTCGTGAAAGTGATAGTGATACTGAATCAGAAAGTGATGATATGCCTGTAGGCAATAACATTCCATCTTCTCTGCCAGAGGTTAAGGATAAAAGCAATTTGGCTTCTGATGCCTCGCTGGAATCTCCAAAATCTGAAACTGCTGGACGTGATAATAGAGTTTTCTTGTCTTTTGATTGGGAAAACGAAGGACCCTGCGAAAAAGCTGTAGAGAGGTATAAGTTATGTGCAATCTCTTTGAAGTCTGGAAGAGTATTAATTTTTATAACATGTAGAACTTTTTGTTTTCACGGAGCTGGAAAATATATGATAACAACATAACCAGGCACTGTGCACGAGATCGTTATCTGTATGTGCAGTTGGGTTGTGAGAAATTCTAGGCATCCTGGTGTTGCATTTAAAATTGAGAGGGGTTTTAACCTGTCGGTAGAGCTTATGATGTTAGGGAGTGATTGTTTATGGATTGGACTAGTTTTTATTTGGTTATTTTTTAACTATAGTTAATTTTGAAAAAAGGTGGTATGGTTAGTTCTTAGTGGATATATAAAATATTTAAATAAAATAATTAAAGTTGATTTGATGTGAAGTAGGAGAAAAATGATTGGAAGTGATAGTTAGTTAGAATTATGTGAGTAGATGAATAGTGAATTAAAGTTGATGTGATATGTAAAAATGATTGGTTGATATTATTTAATTATTTTGATAATAATGAAGATAGTGGAGTTGAGTTATATTGATATTTGATTGGTTTTTTTACTATTGAATTTATATACAATCGCCCCCTTAGTTTCTGTACTAGATGTTCCTTGAATTGATGGCAACTTGTTTGCTATAATAGATTCAGGCTAAGCTACATCATTTTTTCTTCCAGCATTAAATGTTACGTGAGGAAGTTTATTGAAGTGAAAAGTTGTTGGCTAGATCTATGTCTTAGACAATTCGCAAGCTGTTGTTGAATACCCATGTTAAATATCATATACTATTTGACCATGACGGGTGGAACTATGTGTATCACACACTTAGTAATGAGAATATCTTGAGTTGCTTATATATTTTGTTTCCTTGTCCCTCTTTTCCTATATTCTGAAGCCTTACCTTAAGCTTCTCTGAGTATTAGGCTTCTTTTAATGAATTATCCTATAGGCTGAACAACTCTGCAAGTTAGACAAATCATTTCTCTCTCTTTTGTTCCATTGTTCTTCCATCTATTTCATTATCATTTTTTTTTTTTCCTTTGATTTCCTGGTTTTGATAATTCCGCTGGCACAGATTGATTGATGAAGGAAAATTGGTGGATGCTCTTGCTCTTTCTGATCGCTTCTTGCGCAATGGGGCCTCAGATGGGTTACTTCAGATGCTCATTGAAAGTGGCGAGGACGATACATTTGCAGAACAGCCTCAAAGTAGTTCAAGCCTTCGCATCTTGAGCAATAGTTGGCACTATTGTCTTCGCCTGAAGGATAAGCAGCTGGCAGCTAGACTTGCTCTGAAGTACGATAGTGGTTCATCTTTCTTGTGAATTTATGTATACTTTTAGTTATAAATTGCATAGAGTCCACACAGACACACACACACACACATTTATCTTTTTAATTTTTGAATGTGAAATTCTTTTCTTCCATCTGTTCAGTAATCTTTGCATTTCTCTTTTCTCTATTCCTTGCAAGCGTTCTTTATTTTTGTCTAATTTAACAACATCTCTAGCCCTTGCTTTCGCACCCTTTCCTCTTTTTTCAGTTGGTAACTGATACTATATGTATTATCCTTTTTTAGATATTTGCATAGATGGGAGCTGGAAGCGGCTTTGGATGTTCTCACTATGTGTAGCTGTCATTTGCCTGATGGTGATCCACTTAAAATTGAGGTAGCTAAACAGCCGTTAATTGCAACCATAGACAGGAGTATATTAATCTAAGGAGTTTTTCTAGTCTTGAAATCAAGATGTGGTTGACACTTGTGATATTTTTGAATAGGTTGTTCAAAGGAGACAAGCCCTGTGTAGATACAAACACATTTTATGTGCAGATGATCGCTACAGTTGCTGGCAAGAGGTATAATGTGCACCAAATGAGTGAAGAAAAATGATGTTTGAAATCTAATTCTGTTCTATGCCATGCATTTCTATATTTAATCAGGTTGAGACAGATTGTCAAGAAGATCCTGAGGGTCTGGCACTTAGATTGGCCGAAAAAGGAGCAGTTTCTGCTGCTTTAGAAGTGGCAGAAAGTGTGAAACTTTCCATTGAACTTCGTAGAGAACTTCAAGGCCGTCAACTTGTCAAGCTTCTCAATGCAGACCCTGTAAACGGAGGGGGTCCCGCTGAAGCTTCTCGATTTCTCTCTTCTCTCCGTAATTCTGATGATGCTTTGCCTGTTGCCATTAGTGCAATGCAGCTATTGCCAAACCTTCGATCCAAGCAGCTTCTTGTACGTTGAGGTCTTTCTATTTCAAGTTTAAAACTGAAAAATGTGATTTTGTTTTCACTCGTTTTTTGTTAGTAAACCTGTGTTTGCTTTTGATAAGGTGCACTTCTTCCTGAAGAGAAAGCATGGAAATCTGTCTGAGGTTGAGGTCTCCAGGCTAAACTCATGGGCTTTAGGTCTTCGTGTATTAGCAGCCTTGCCATTGCCATGGCAGCAAAGATGTTCGTCCCTTCATGAGCACCCTCATTTGATTGTAGAAGTTTTGCTGATGAGGAAGCAACTGCAGTCTGCATCTCTGGTACAATTTACTTCATCTGTTAACTGCTTTGTTGTATAGCCAACTGAGTCATGACCACTTGGTATATTAACTGGTTGCAGATTCTTAAAGAGTTTCCTTCATTGAAAGACAACAGCATGATTTTGTCATATGCTGCCAAAGCTATTGCTATCAGCATGAGTCATCCTGTCAGGGATTCTAGAATTTCAGTTTCTGCACCACGACCAAAGCAGAGAACAAAATCTACCACACCAACACGGTCATCGTTTAGTAGCAGCCTGAGTCATTTGCAAAAAGAGGCTCGTAGAGCATTTTCCTGGACCCCTCGTAACTCCGGAGATAAGGGCGCACCGAAAGATAGTCATAGGAAGAGAAAGAGCTCTGGATTATTGCAGTCTGATAAAGTTGCTTCGGAGACCATGACTGGAATTCAGGAAGACCATGTTTCAGTGTTTACTACAGACGGGCAAGAACGACTTCCTTCTGTTTCAATTGCAGCAGAATGGATGTTGACAGGTGATCTGAAGAAGGATGAACCTGTTCGTTCTTCTCATCGATATGAAAGTGCTCCTGACATTACTTTGTTCAAGGTACTTTAGCATGATGCAAATGGATTAAAAATATTTTTACTGCCGAAAAGAGTTTTTACATGCTAAGAATACATAGGCCATTTATTCACTATTTTCTGTATATTAGAGTTTCTTGTGAGAATTGATCATGTATGATGGTGTGGCCGTCCAGAGTATAAGTATCTTGGCCAATATATTACTACTTGCTGTCTCCGGCATTTCTGATGAAGTTAATCACCTATTCACTCAAGTCAAAAGCTCTTCTTTGGTCCAATGATAAAGTGGAAAAATAAAATATTTTTTTGTGAAACAATAAGAGTTAATATAATTAAGGTTCTAAAAGGTGCTAGGCGCTTGCTAGGCTCCAGGCTGGGGCCTAGCGCCTAGAGCGCCTAGGCAGGTTTGTAAAAATGCTAATAAATTTATTTACATTTATAATCATGCGTAACTTAAAAAATGCATTTTATAAAACATACTAATTAGTATGGTTAAATAAGTATTTTCAAAAATACTTTATACTTGTAATTATTATATTAATTTTACATAATTGTTTTTGTTTTTTTATTTTATACTTATTGTACATTTCATGTATCAAAATCATAATATATTTGCATTATATTTTAAAAACTAAAAAAATTATACGGGCGCCTAGGCGGTGCTTGGACAACCTAGGTCGCCGCCTAGACCGTCTAATTAGTCTAGACGTGACTAACTTTGCAACCTCCTAGACCGTCTAGGCGGCACCTAATTGACCGAGCGCCTAGAAGGACCGCCTAGACGAAAATCGGGACGTCCAGGTGCCGCCTAGCGCTTAGACGTTAGGACAATTACTGTAATTCATGCAGCTACTTTTAGATTTTGGGCTGAAGAAATTCTTGGCGGTGAAGCTTGGCTGACGTGCACAGGAACCTATGTTAAACTATTGCATATCCTGTATTGCGTAATTTTGAGATGTTCTGACAGCAATGTTTAACTTAACCACCCTACAGGGAGTAGTCTTCCACGATTTTCTTCCACCTCTCACTGGTACTGTAAAGTTGAGGTGTGTAACCAGCAATGGGGTCAGATGCCGATTAACCGAATTAGTTATCCAGAATAATAATCAGAATTCTGAAGTACAGTTTAGTAGATACTAGATAATATCTAACCCCCACCCTTCGTGGTAACAACCAAGTTTAGAAATTAGTGTTAGCACTTAGCACCTCATTATGAAACTCACCCCCGTTGTGAGATATACTTTGTTATTAACCTACAGTGACACTTGTATTCATTTGTCTGCAACCAAATTTGATTTTGTTGCATGAGATATTTGTTTCTTTGTTTAGAAATTAGAATTGTATTATTATTAGTTCATACATAATCAAAATTCTTACTAGCTTTTTACATGTAATCAGTGCTAGCTACTTTGCTTTATATGTGGCTAATTCGTTGTAACTTTTGTCCCAAGGCATTGCTTTCATTATGTTCAGATGAAAGTGCATCCGGCAAAGGTGCTTTGGACTTGTGCATTAATCAGATGAAAAATGTTTTGAGCTCCCAGCAGCTACCTGAAAATGCATCTATGGAGATTATTGGCCGAGCATATCATGCAACAGAAACATTTGTGCAGGTCTTTGTGTTTAGAAACTTTGATGAACTATTTTTGAATTGCTGCATCCTGACATTTGTTCGTTATCTTCTAGGGTCTGATTTTTGCTAAATCCCAGCTCCGGAAACTTTCTGGGGTCAGTGATTTGTCCAGTAATTCAGAAAAAGGCCGGGAAGCTGATGATGCATCTTCTGATGCTGGTAGCTCTAGCATGGGTAGTCAATCAACCGATGAATTGTCTGAAGCACTGTCACAGGTTGATATGTGGCTTGGACGTGCTGAACTGCTGCAAAGTCTTCTGGGATCAGGCATAGCAGCCTCCCTTGATGATATTGCTGATAAAGAATCATCTGAACACCTTAGGGATCGATTGATCCAGGAGGAACGATATAGTATGGCTGTATACACTTGCAAGAAGTGTAAGGTACAAATGTACATCATTTTGGTGATCACTTATGAGTAACATGCAGAAGCTCACATTTTATTCTTGCCTTCCAGATTGATGTTTTCCCTGTTTGGAATTCATGGGGTCATGCCTTAATACGGATGGAACACTATGCACAAGCTCGCGTGAAGTTCAAGTAATTTTTTTTTATGTTTTCAAAATAGATTATATCTGCAGCTGGGTGTGTGCGCATGAGTTTTTGACCTCTCGTTCTTTTGTTTTCTTGTTAGTATGTGTTTACTCTGTATTTGTTCTGACTTATTATGTAATTTGCAGGCAAGCTCTTCAATTACACAAGGGTGATTCTGCCCCCGTGATTCTAGAGATCATCAATACTATTGAAGGTGGTCCGCCAGTTGATGTTGCATCTGTTCGTTCTATGTAAGATTGCTGTCTTAAAAATATGATCCCAATCAGTTATTCTTTCATTGTACATCTGAATTTTTTTCTGTTATTTCTGTTAAATACATTAAGAAGGAATCGGAAATACATTCGTGAATCAGATATTTATGGCTGGAGTATGACTACATTGGAAGATGTCATACATGCGTTGATGATATTAAATGTGTAGATTCATTTGAGCCAAGAATTGTGACTTGTTCTTTTATAGTTGAACCTGTATTAATCACTTGGTTCAATTTTTTTATTAGCGAAGTTTGGTAGTCTCAGCATTTCTTCCTTAGTTACCATACAACTCATCTTAACTGAACTCACTTTAGAGCAGACGAGATTGGATTGTGAAAAGGTCTATATATTAGATTTGTTAGGATCGAGAAAGTGGCTGGCCAATTAGAAACATGGTAAGACTGTAAGAAGATCCGGGATCATTAAACTAAAAATGGAGATTAGAATTGCTAGACTACAAATGCAGTTGATAAGTGTTACTCCATCCTACAGTTCATAATGTAGCTGGTCTTTTCTTCATCAACCATCAACTTTCCAAGTGATTACTGAACCATGATTTGCTTTATTTCACGAGCAAATCAAATAATTTTATAGTGCTTTTAGTTGCTAGTATTAAATAGCTGTTAGTAATTTGGATACATTATCTTGGTATATTGTTGAAAATTTAAAATGGAATGAGACAATTTTCTATCAGAATTTCTTTCCGTCGTACATCTCCGCAGGTTCTAGGATTTTAGATAATTAGAAATTCTTCAGTTTTACACACAAAACTCTGATTAAAGGCATCTCACATAGAATGCTGTAATAAGTAATAATTCAAAAATTATTTTGCCATTTTGGAACTCAATAATAAGCCATTAATGTTTGTCCATTCAACATATGATGCAGGTATGAACATTTAGCCAAAAGTGCACCAGCGGTCTTAGATGATCCTCTTTCTGCTGATTCCTATCTCAATGTTCTTTACATGCCTTCTACCTTTCCACGGTCAGAGAGATCTAGGAGGTCACAAGAAGCAGCAAAGGAATCTTCTCACAGCCTTGATGATGGACCACGCAGCAACCTTGACAATGTCAGATACCTTGAATGTGTAAATTACTTGCAAGAAGTAAGTTGTCAGGTTAATTGTGACATATTATTCTAGGTTAATTATGACATAATATTCTAATAGAGTGAAGGGCGGATTGCAAGAAGAAATCCAAAACTAGAATTGATAATTAATTGAAAACGAAAGGAATGGGAAGAACTCAAAACAATTGCGAGCGAGCCTGCCCCAAGCGCGAGCGCCGATCAGCATTTCTCCAACATAAGCCAAAGGCTCCTCTATTCTTTTCTCAATGGCTTAAGAGACTTAAACCCTAGTACTTAAATAAAACAATTTAGGGTTCCAAAGCAAAAGCCCGGCCCATCACCTTATTCTAGCCCTAATTAAATAACTTAAGTAAAGTATGTAAACTTAAATAATATAGTATATAGACACGTATCAATACTCTCCCGGTCAAAACAACCTTGTCCCAAGGCTGTATTGCTGAAAACCCATGCTACATGCATCAAGCTAACCAAACCCATGCTACATGCATCAAGCTAACCAAACCCAAGGCTCTATTCTTGATGAATTAATGATAAGTATTGTTGTGGTTGCTCTTTTCTTCTGGAGGTTTTTGGGGGTTTAGGGTGGTGATGGTTGTTAGTTTTATCCTTACCAGTCACACAAGCTACAGAACAACACTAGTTTATGTTGCTGCAACTCCATGTTTATATTTAGGGATAACCTTTACTTGACAATGTAGAAAAGGTTCAAGTTTCTTTAGTATACTTATGTATGGGGAATGCAGTGGTCTGTTAAGGTGTGCTTCCTGTTACATTACGGAACTCTCTTTACCAAAATTTGTATAATGTTCATGCTTGTTTCATCTATCTCTCATGCTTTCATTTATGTATATCATTTGGTCTGCTCTAGATTATCCTTTGGCTGTGGACCCTGTCTTTTAAAGTATTACATGCTTTTCAAGTATTTAGACGCTTTTATTTGGTGTCTGCTGTGCTGTGCATGCCAACTGCCAAAGTTTGTGAAAATAGTTTTTCAGTCAACATTATAACTGACAGCGACACCATTTATCTGGCCTTGGTAACACATTTTATGTTGCAGTATGCTCGTCAGCATTTGCTGAGCTTTATGTTTAAGCATGGCCGATATAAGGAGGCTTGCTTCTTGTTCTTTCCTGCCAATTCTGTTCCTCAACCACCTCAGCCTTCTCTGGGAACCGTTACATCGTCTTCTTCTCCTCAAAGGCCTGATCCTTTGGCAACTGATTATGGGACGGTTGATGATTTGTGTGATATGTGTGTTGGCTATGGAGCGATGCCTGTTCTGGAAGAAGTAATATCATCAAGGATTGCAGTGACACAGGATCAGTTAGTGAAACAGCATACTACTGCAGCCATTGCGCGCATATGTGCCTATTGTGAAACTCATAAGCACTTCAACTATTTGTACAAATTTCAGGTATATGCACCTCATTATTCATCACTTCCCCCATTTAAACTTGTTTCACATGTCTCCATATTATTTAATCTCTCTCTCTCTCTCTCTCTCTCACACACACACACACACACACACTCTTGTTTAGCTTTCAGATCAGCTAGTAGGTTGGTGCTAAATAAGTGATTCTAAATGAATTGATGGTTTACGACTTAGGTGCTCAAGAAAGACCATGTGGCCGCTGGCCTTTGCTGTATTCAGTTGTTTATGAACTCTGCTTCTCAAGAGGAAGCTATAAAGCACTTGGAACACGCTAAGGTAGTCATACTATTTTCATGTTACCTTGTCACTACATATTCAAAATGTGCTTCTTCGTCAAGTAGCTGTGTTGAGGATCACAAATAAAGTAGATATGCTTGCTTAAGCTTTGACTTAAGCATGGTAAAGCCTTAAGCATGAACTTTGATCACTATACATGATCTGATGTACACGATTTTGGGTCTTTAAACTTTGTTTGGCTGAGGAAGAATGCTCGGGTATGTCATGGCTTCTCTGGCCGTGATTTGCTGGTTGGCAACTCAATTACGATTCTCATTTTTATTCTTCTGTACATCTTGATCCGTGTTTTGGTGCAGATGCACTTTGATGAAGGGTTGTCGGCACGATATAAGTTGGGAGAGTCTACAAAAGTTGTCACCAAAGGTATTCGGGGAAAAACTGCCTCTGAGAAGCTTACTGAGGAAGGATTGGTTAAATTTTCTGCTCGTGTTGCCATTCAGGTACACTTATGAATGATATGTTAGTCAATAGCAGGAAGGACTTCTGTCACTTGCTTATGAACCGAAGCCAATCGTGAACCTTTGTTGTCTCCTTATTTCTTTAGACCTCAGCATCAAAACAATTACCGACATTAAGTAAATTTCTTGATATCAGGGTCAAAGTGCTTTTGATCAGTTTGTGTCCTAACTCTGTTTCCTTTGTTATCTCAAAGTTACTTAAGCTTGTTTATATGGCTAAGTCACGTATATATTTACACTTCAACTTGGCCTGCATTTTAAAAGTTTTGTTTAATTCATAGATGGATGTCGTGAGAAGCTTCAGTGATGCAGAGGGACCTCACTGGAAGCACTCTATTTTTGGCAATCCAAATGACCCTGAGACATTCAGGTTCTATGCTATTTCCATATTATTCTTGCTCAAAATTTCACATATTTATCGGTATTTTGTTGCAAACTGAAGTCTCTGACCCTTGTATTATGGAAGTCCTTAGTCCAGTATTAAGTCTTAACAATGTCACTAATGCACTGCAGGAGAAGATGTGAAATTGCTGAAACTCTAGTGGAGAAGAATTTTGACTTGGCTTTCCAAATAATATATGAATTCAATCTTCCAGGTAATTTTTATGACATTCCTCAGCACCGTGGGTTCAATATCATGTTAGTGAAGTTATAACATGCCTTTCTGCTGTGGTGCCACTCCAGCTGTCGACATATATGCTGGTGTTGCTGCATCGCTTGCTGAGAGGAAAAAAGGCGGCCAATTAACAGATTTTTTCAGAAACATCAAGGGCACCATAGATGATGATGATTGGGATCAGGTACTAGTGCGGTTACTCTAAAAGTTGTTTTTAATCCCTTATTTTGTAATTGATGGAGAACTGTTGATTGGGCAAAATACAGAGCCATAATTATGTCGATTTATACAAATGTGGATGATACTGGATATGTTGATTACATGTTACATTATTCTAGATTTACTTTTGGGGAGGATAATTTATATATTTTCCAATATGCATTCTCCTGTTTTGCAGGTCTTGGGTGCAGCAATCAATGTCTATGCCAACAAGCACAAGGAACGTCCTGATCGCCTCATTGACATGTTGACAAGCAGTCACAGGTGGACCTTGTTATTTAAACGTAAATTGAAAAATGAAATTCCAATTGTGCAAAATCTGCAAATCCCACCAATTTGTTGCAAATTGATAAGGTTTCTACAGAAGTAAAAAATATGCATATTCTAGCCTTGTATATTATAGAATTGCTCTACCGCAAGGACTCTGTGTGTTCAAAACAATTTGGGGGAAGATTTGATCATTGTGCCAATTTAGCATGAAATTGGGACTGGATGTGGCCTTCCCTCCTTACATCTGCATTAGATTGCATTGCTCAAAATTGCTGTGAAAAAGCAGCACTTAAATAATCACTACCACGAAGAGAACTTTTACTGTTGATGTTATCGTACGTTCAATAATGCTGTCCAACAAATACAAAAACAGGGGTGTTGACTTTTTTGAACAATGATTAGTTCTCCATTATTAAGTCTTATTATCGTGGTTGGATTTGCAGGAAAGTACTGGCCTGTGTTGTTTGTGGTCGTCTAAAGAGTGCTTTCCAAATAGCATCAAGGAGCGGAAGTGTAGCTGATGTTCAGTATGTTGCGCATCAGGTTAATTCTTCAATGTCAAACTATCAATAATAGTTTGAAATTAGTTTGTCTTTTTTTGTTTTTTTTTTTTTTTTTTT